CTCCAGTGCCATTTTCAGAGTATCTTCTGACATCCATTTTGATCTTTTCTTCCTCTTCTAAATGGCTTAGATTACTGATGAGATTTCCCCCGATCCTGATGTCACATTCTATTTCACACAGTCTATCTTCTATTTGCACAATATACAAGTTGAAAAGGTGGGGGGAAAATATTGTCAATAAAAAGAGAAACCAGAGATGAGTGTCTTCTGACAGGATGCAATGTAAACTCCACATAGTTCTATACACGGAGTGTCCTTATCACAAAAAGATGAACTTTAATTAACCAAATCCAAATCCAAATCCATGGTGATTTCACAAAAATGACTTCACACACACACCAACAATCACGAGTACAGTGCAGGACAGGGCTGAGTTTCCTTCCATTCTACAGAAGATGCTGTGAGTGCAGACAGCTCAGTGACCACCAGCAGCAACATGCTGACCTCCAGGCACAGGGACACGGTAACCCACCACGGGAAAGGGCGGGACACTGGAATGTGCTGCGTCCTACAGGACACTGACCTAGTGAGCACGACACATAACATACTTTTTTTTAAAGGGAGAGAACTGTTTTGGAATCATAGAACAGTGGGAGATATGAGGCAGTGCGGGAAACGTGTGTTCTTAGGGGACTGAGAGGGGAGCACACAACTAAGAAGGGAGCACAGCTGAGAAAGGAGTACACAGCAGAGAAGGGAGCACACAGATGAGGGGGAGCACAGCAGGGAGAAGTGCCTGTCTGATCACACAGCCAGGAGAAGCTGAGAGAGCGGTCTCCACTGGAGAAGAAGGGGTGTGCTCTCCTCCTCCAGGGGGTCTTCCAGACTCTGTCACCATAGTTCCAGATCCTCATCCCAAGTTTAATGCAGTTGGTCCCCATCCCAAGCTATACCTGTTATTTCTTTTAAAAGCCCCTTAATTATAAGTATAATCTGCCAAGTTCTCTGTCCCCATTATAATACATGAACCAAGCAGAGAAGCAGAGTGCTGCGGAAGTGATGACTGGTCAGAATTGTTAAAAGGTTGGAAAGCAGTTGTGTGTCTGAGCTCTCCCTCTGAGGAATTAATTTTGGCTTGCTCCTGGTTCTTTTTCATAAGACATGAAAAACCATAAATGGTTGTATATTGTTATACATCTTTAGAGATGTAACATGTGTGTAATTCAGTATGGTTTAGTGCTCTGTGTGTGATAGCTGCGTGTAAAAGATCGATGATAGCTATACAAAGGTTGCTTACATCTAAAGCTTGTGTGCAAGACATGGTGGGTGGCAGCGACTGGGAGCCAGTTCAAGCAGCAGCAGGCTCCACCCTGGGTGGGAGGTGAATGAGGTCAAGTCCATAGGTGGAGGTTGGGTGATGTTCAAGCCAAGACTGTAGACGAATAAAGCAGCAGCGAGCCTTCGGACCAGGCTCAGTCTCAAATGCAGTCCTGAACTTCCTTCTCTTAGCCGTCAAGGTCCTAGCCTGCTGTGATGGGGAGTGAAATCCAGGCTGGGTTTAGCCTGCGGCTCGGTCCTTAGGGAGCTGCACAGCTGTCTGAAAGGCCATGCTTCTCTGGTGGTTTGAATCCAGCAGATGCTCCGTGGGCACAGGAAGGACAATCTCCTCCTGGGTCATTTACATCCTCGGAATCCCAGCTGAGGGGCAGCTATGAGGTGGTTCCTACTCTACTGTCATTGTTTGTTTGTTTGTCTGTTTGTTTCTGAGCATCAGTCTCTCAAGTTTTAGGGAGCTCAGGTTGTTACATTCCCACCTGTTGGCTGGGAAAGTTCTTGCTGAGCAGCACTGCTGAGTCTCCGGAGCATCCTGGAGACTGGACTGTACACTGCAGTCCAGCAAGGATAAAAACTACCAGACAAGGGGAGCCCTGGTGGCCTAGTGGCAAGGATCTGCAACTACAATCCCAGAGGGACAATCTCCTCCTGTACTAGTCAAATCTGATGTGATGATACACGCACACAAAAATAATAAAATAAAAAATTTAAACAAAACAAAACAAAAGAAAAAAAACACCTACCAGACAGACAGACAGGAGGAGGATGCTGGACAGGGAAGGAGGCACCACGGGGACAGGGAACCCTAGAAAAGCTGTGCTACGGTGACTGCCAAGGGGGTGAGGCAGGCAGGAGGGGAAGCCACCACTGCACTGCCATCACCCACAGTGTGGGCAGCAGGTGCTTCTGGGCAGCCTCCTGTCCTCTCCCTACTGCTCGTCTGACCCTGTGAATAGCGAGGCAGCAAATCAAGAAAATCCTCCCAGAGACACCGCACAGATCCCCACACGTATTTCTGTTTCCCCTAATCTCCCCCAGTCTCGGGACCACTGCATGATGCAAATATCAACATGCCTGGTTATTCATCCCTGGGATGTTGGAGAAAGGGCCAGTCATCTACATTCATTAACAGGTGGATGGAAAGCAACTCTATTCTGACACATAGAAGATTGCGGGAGGGTGGGGTTGACTGCAAAGCAGCCCTTTCATGCTTCCTCCCAGCCCCACATGCTTGACATGTGAGCACACCAAAATGAGTTTAGCTGTCACTGCACCTCACATTTCTGCATGATCGCAGAGCATTTTGCCATGAAGTGTAGCACTGTGTTAGCTTTTAAAGGTCCATCATATTCTTCACTGTGTATTCCAAGCAGTTTTCCAATAAAAATAATACTAAAAAGTGCACCTTGGAATGTCTTGGATTTCATGCTCATCTAAATAAAAAGTTTTTAAAAAAAAACTACCCTGCTTTATGAGATACATTAACTTACAAATAAAGACATTGACATAAAATATGTTTTCAAACAGGAAAGGAATTGCAAATGGAAATGACAAGTCCTGGATGAGTAAGAAGCTGCTTCTACCTACCCATAGAAGGGCATCCCTACAGGACCTAAGGGGAGGTGACTCACCTGGCTCAGAGGCTTTCTCTGCTCACAGTTGATGCCTCCTACGAAGACCATGTTGGGCATCACAGGCTTGGGATAGTCAAAAACAAAGTCAGTTCGTATCAACCAAATGGACGTGTGGCTGTGGAGGTCGTAAGCTGTGACCGGCTGTTGCAAAATCTCAGAGGCAATTTCTAAACCACTTTTGAAAAAAGAAGCATGAAATAAACATTCCCCTAAATGGAAGATATGGTTCCATACTCTCTCCTTGAAAGTCATGGTGTCTGAGGACCCTAGGAGACTTCTGGGAACATAAGAAACAGGACTGGGGGCCTGCGTGCCTTCTTCAAGAAAGTGACGAAATACTCCCCTAGTAAAGACTACAGATGGGAGTGATAAGTACTTGGCCACAATTAAGCCACACAGATCAAAAGGATCTGTAAACACCGCATCAAAAGAACTGCCTCTTAGGAACTCGACCAATTTTGCATCATTAAATAAACTCTGACAATGTGAAAAAAAGTATTTAAACACATTTCTGATTGAAATCAGCATAGAATA